CCCCAAAACCCCAAAACCCCAAAACCCCTTCATTAACTCAATGAATAGAAACAAAGTCTAACACTAAGAATTCTATGAACTCTAAAGCACAGTTAAGTTCTCACCCTAATTCTCATTAACCCCTCACCCAAAAACTATACAACCTCAACCACCTTCACCCCAAAACCAACCCATCTTCCCCTCCCCAAAACCCCAAAACCAACTTCCCAGACTAAAATTCTCACCCCAAAACCCCAAAATCCACTTATCTCAAATTTGACCTAAAAATCCTCTTAAATCCCGCCTACATTTTCTTCTTGGCAAGGTCTTCCACTGTAACGCTCTGTGACAAAGTCTCTAGCTTATTTTTATTTGGGTCGAACAGAAGAGATTCGTCACCGAAAATCAGGAATTTTATGTAGTTCTTCAGGTTTTCCATCGGTTTTTCGAATAGTAGGAATGCGAATAAGGCGAATGTATAGGTCAGAATGATACAAGAGAACATTGATGGGATTATACTGATGTAAGTCACGTACAAGCTCGTTTTAGTGTTGAAAATAGCAGCTCCGATTACTAAGGGGAATATTAGGTAGGCAGTGAAGTTTAAACGGGCTAAGGGTCTCCAGAGGTAGTTCGAGAGAAGGACTTTTATGTACCTTCCTTTTCCTGTTAGAATGTTTAAAATAATAGCCATTATGCCACTAATATATCCAAATCTACTAAGAGCGAAGAAGATACCATTTTGGTTCATTCCCCAGCTATATCCATTACGGTTCGAAGAGACTTGGATAATATTGATAAAGTTTATCACTCAGAAGGCATAAGCATACAAAAAAATAGCAAAGAGTAATGAATTGTTCATGAAATGAATCAAAGGGAACTTCTTCTTCTGGTCTTCATCAGAAGCCTGTTTGTACTTGATTAGTCGTAAATAAAACGCTCCCATGCCCATCCCTCATGCCAGTATAGGCAACTTAGTATAAGGCTTGTTGTAAAATCAAGAATAGAGGTAATAATCCTCAAACGTAAGAATCCCTACTCTTAATCTGTTCTTAATCGTTATATAGAAGTCAAGTAAGCATCCACCGACCAGCAGTGCAATATTGGTGATATAGAATAATGTTCTCCTTTTCTTGTACAGTATCACTAAGAAAGGGAAGAACAAGTGTAGAATCATGTCATTTGGGATGACATATGGCCAATAATAGCATCCGTTCAGAGCTTGTGTGAAGAACGGGATGAAATTGTTTAGAAAAGTTAACACAAATGGCCATTCTTCCTCTCAATTTTTCGAGAATCTCTCTGATACAAACCAGCCTGGGTTGGTAAATATCAGAGGGTATAAGAACCAACTGAAGAAGAAAACAAGATAATACATTGGAGCTAGCTTTAAGAACCTGTGGATGTAGAACCTGATGTAGTCTGTGAAACCAATCCCACCATTGAGATCATAAAACCTTGCCATATAAATGAATCCTAGGAAAAATATGTAAAACACGAATAATTCAGGTGTAATGAAACAGCCAGCTAGGAAGGCAAATGGGTATCCCTGGAAGTAGACAAAGATCATAATTGGGTCACTGAGATTACTTATCAGTGTATAAACTGCAGTCAGGGCAAGGATCACCCAGAGCATAGTCAGGACCCTCATGCCATCAATGAAGGCTAGATCCTCATCCTCCTTAAACTTATTTATCGGCGTGTGCAAAGAAGTTATATTCCTTTGTATTGAGAAGCAGTTGATTATGTTCTCCCAGAATGATCCTTTAAATTTATTGCGGACAATAATTTGAGATTTCTTATGATCTTTTTGAGCAGACATATCTGTCGATTCTTCAGTAGTCACATTATCACTCCTAGGAGTGATACTGACGTACTTTGTAGGTATCTGATGCATTGGAGCTGACTGCTTCCTAGGAGAAAATCCTAAGATGAAAGGATCAGTTTGGCTCACTTCACGACTATCGTTGGGGAAATTTATAGGATCTCTAATGCTGTCATAGTAATCACTAGGTGTTGTATTCCCTGTGTAATAACCACCTCCGCTTAGAAAGCTCTCTTTCTCGTTTGGAACATATTTCTTATTTTCCCAACTATTTTTATTCGGTCTTTGCCAGTGTAGTAAAAGACTAAATGAGATAACAAGACCTGCATAGAGACTCATAAGAGCCAAGACAGCTATGGCTCCTATTGATTTATTTTGAATCTGAGTTTCTCTCCAGGCTTTAGGTTGAATAAAGGAGACCTCAGCCCCTAGTCTCTGTTTCCTGATAAACTCAATATCAGTTATCCATCCAATAGTTTGGACTAATTTAAAGGTTATGGCTGATAAAGGGTCAGCAGCTTGGTTCATCATTACTTGTGTACATTCTTTAGGAAATCAAAGACCAAACCGGACGTCTACAGGCAATTTTGTTAAATTTACGTTAATGTAATTCCATTCAGCGTGGCTGGTGATTTCTTGGCATCCTGAATAATCTCCGACATCTGCTATATCCGAAAAGGAATACAGCTGCATCTTCTTGTAAGGATCTTGTCTCATATATTTTGTGTAGCTGTTAATAGCAGCGTAACACTGGTCAATGGCATAATTTTTAGATTTCTCCAAGATAGTATTCCTATTTACTTTGGTCGATTCATTATGGACTGTGATTCTTGATTCAAAGTCTATATCAAACAGCAAGTCTACTAGGAGAATTGTGCTGTTGAGAATACTTCTTGAGGAATTCCTATGTTTTAAAAGCTTCCCGCTCTGCCCCTTAGTTAGCGATATAAATGAGACTATCAAGCATAGAATATTAAGAATGCTTCCCTTCATGATTATTTTTATTATATCCTTGCTAATATTACATGTGAAAGAGGGGTTTTGGGGTTTTGGGGTTTTGGGGTTTTGGGG